AGGGCAAAACCGAAAAGATATTATAGTTACGTGCACTCCAAGGGGGTGCTTAGAGACGAAATAGGCGCCATTAACCTGAAGGGCGATAAAATAGTCACAACGGATCAGAAGAAGGCCATGGTACCAGGGAGATACTTTGGAAGTGTGCTCAGGGAGGATAGAGGGTGGGTTGTCCCGTCTGGAGGGGGTCAACAGATCCAGACTATTGAGGACAGTTGTGACACCAGAGGAGGTGCGCAGGGTTCTGTCGGAACCCAACGTAAACAAAGCACCAGGGCCAGATGGGATTCATCCAGCCATCCTTANACCACTAGCGGATGTCCTTGCTACACCCGTGAGCCTGCTCTGCAAAGTGTCACTAGTGGACGGAGTTCTACTTAGTGACTTGAAGACAGCTACTGTGGTAGCGCTTCATAACGATGGTGAGAAATCCGACATGAGACTATAGACCAATAAGCCTAACCAGCATCCTTTGCAAATGCATGGAGAACTTGATTAGGGAACATGTATGTCGACATCTACTGCGTTACACCCTACTAAGCAGGGCGCAGCACGGATTCTTAAAACATAGATCCTGTCCCACTAAACTTCTGTGATACCTGGATGAAGTCACAGAGAGGCTAGATGAGGGTCATACCGTTGAGGTTTGCTACCTCGATTTTAGCAAGGCTTTCGATTCTGTGAACCACAGATTGCTCCTTCACAAAATCAAAAGCTTTTGATTAGGAGGAAATCTGCATAGGTGGTTAACCGCTTTTCTCACAAATCGAACCGTCGCAGTGAGAGTAGGGGAGGACAGTTCTCAGGTCATTCGATTGCCCAGTAGAGTGCCTCAAGTTTCGGTTCTCGGACCGTTACTCTTCCTCTTATTCATCAACGACTTGGCGGGGTTAACCAACTCACCCTGTTTCGTCTTCGCGGATGACGTGAAGGTGGTGGGATCGAGTGGTAGAGCAAACCTAGTGAGCCACATTAAACGGGTGGTTGAGTGATCAAATAAGTGGGACTTGGCACTGAATGCGGCCAAGTGTCAACTATTGACCAAGAAAACAGATCCCTTAGTTGCTACCGGAACGTGGGGAGTGTTCGAAGTCAAACCGGTAGAAACTTTCAAGGATCTTGGGTTAGTAATAAATTCGGATTTCAACTGGGACAGCCAATGCGAAATCGCGGCTCGCAAGGCACGGGGAGAACTTTTCCGGCTCAGATCTCCTCTTTCTTGCAGAAAACTGGAAATTTTCGTCCCCATATACAAGGCGATACTAGGGCCTCATCTGGAATACTGTGTCCAAGCCTGGGCACCTCTGCACAAAAAGGACACTTCCTGCATGGAGAAAGTGCAAAGACTAGCTACAAGAATGGTGGATGGGCAGAGGGGTAAATCCTACCAGGAGGATTAAGGGACCTCGATTTAGTTTCGCCAGAAAGAAGGCAAATTAGAGGAGACCTCATAGAAGTGTTCAAATTTAGGGGGGTTCCTCTGGGACTCCCCCTGAGGAACTCTTCACTGATGCCACGTATGCTGGTACTAGGGGCCACGAGCACATACTGATAGAGAAAAGGAGTAGGTTAGGTGTGAGGTCCAACTACTTCAGCAATAGAATAGTAAATAGGCGGAATAAACTACCTGAGGAACTAGTTAACTTGCCTAGTATCTACACCTTCAAACTGGCTTTGAATAAGAGGTGGTTGGAACTCTTTCCGAACGAGGAGTACTGAACAGGATATGACCGTTAGGTTTACAACATTTTTTTCTGTATGCAATATGGAACGCATCCACATCAAAAGTCTCTCGCCGACACGGCTCTGTTTGCAGATAAGCGAAGAAACCGATCAATTGAAGAGGTGGATGCACACTGGTGAGCACATAACCAAAGGAATTCTGGACGCTTGATTGGCCTGTGGCCACTACCAGTCCTGTGCAACCTGACCTGACCTGGCCTGACCTGACTTGAACTTATTCTCATTGCCTCGCCATCACCTGAGGGGGGAGTTTATTGGGACGTTCAAACAGCTCAAAGGACTGTCAGTGACAGATAGATCCTTGTTTACACGAAACCTCGATTCAACCCTCAGAGGGCATGCTCTGAAGCTGATGAAACCACGGGCCAAAGAAAGTGACAGGGCACAGTTTTTCTCCCACCGCGTGGTAAACCCTACAGTAGTGGCAGCATCTTGTGTTCTGCAATTCAAGCGGAGACTAGACAAATGCTGGGACGAGGTGTTTCCAGAGTGTGAAATGTACAAGTCTCCATCACTAGCCACATCCTCCTTTTGTAGCCGTTGCCTATGTCTAACATCACTCTTTTGCATCATGCACCTCACGCACAATTAACACAAAATTGTTTTTTTGTCATCAGCCCCCGGGAAGCTCTCATGGCAGGAGTAGCAGTCCCCTGAGGTGCGGCGCCTATCAAATGGTTGAGACTGCTGTTACCCCGAGGGTGATCCTGCTCTTCATCTCTTCCCTTGTAGGTAGAACATCCATCACAACTGTGAATCTACCTGGCAGTCGCAGCAAAGTGGGAATTATCAGCTCACAAGTGCAAGAACCTGGACGTCCATTGGCCGAAGCCTAAATCCTTGTGACCTTGGACATTGGACATTGGGCCTGAACGGTACGTACCCCGAGCGTGGTTTGAATTTTGACGTGCTCTCAGCTACAACTTATTCATACTAACACAGTGGAATATCTATCGATATTTCACTTGTTAAACACTGCCTGGGTTAAACCAAGGCAATTTTTATAATTCAGTGACGATCATAGATCACTCAGTTTTACAGAGTTCGTGGTAGTATTTCGTTTTGCGTAAACAGTTTTGTTCATTGTTTTTGTAGCGTACATCTGGGTTCCATTTACCAATTTTTCCAGTTTTTCAGTTTTGAAAGTATTCATTTCATCGGTGTTCAATTTTTAAAATTATTCCACCGTTCAGTATCTGCATGGAATGAGGTGAACGAGTGTGGCGGCTGTGGAGAGTTTGTGGCCGAGGGTATCCAGTGCGAAAGGTGCCATCTTTGGTATCATAAGCGCTATAGTAAGCAGACAAAAACATTTCTACGACCTATACACGATACATACTTCCCTGCGATGGATCTGTGTCTATTGTATAGAGTTGATAGGGGAATGCTCACGCATCCCCAAAGACAAAGCAGCGGGGCAACACCAGTGTATTGATCGATCTGTGAAAATCCTTTCTGTGAAGTCCAGTCATTCCATCTCGGTTCCACATTTCGCGAGTTTTACGTTCCATTCAGCAAACATCATCCGCCTCACATACATATAGACATTTGACGTTCCACTCCC